GTGGCGTATACACCGCTGCTGGGTTGAGGATGGGTCCTGCCAGGGAGCAGTGGATGTGTATAGACTTTGTCTGCCTAGATCTCTACGCGCGCCCTCCCATGAGATCCTGGAGTCGCCCCCTTTCGTTCGGGGCCCTCACGGATCGATCCGGCTCGAAAGGTGCCACAGCAAGATGGGGTCCAGAGGTTCGGTCGGGTTTTTGAGCGATGTTAGCGTGAAGTCGGGCACGTCCCTCTACAGGAGATGCTGGGGACGCTTTCTCGTTCCCTTTTGACTATGTTCGATTTTTTTAAATACAACTTTCAAATTTATCTTCCCAATTCCTCCTGTAGGAAGACATGCCCGACGTAATGCTAGCGTTTTTCCGTGACGTCGGATATCTTGGCTCCCTCTCCCCCCCAGGAGGGTCCAGGCTCTTGGGCGTGCTGTGCCTCTCCTGGGCCTCCTGGGCCACCCTCGTGGCCATGGCTGGGCTCCCCTTCGGAGTTCTGGCCAGAATGCACCCTGGGCTCGTTCCCTGGGGCCAACGTCTGACGTCGTCGTCGTCGTCGTCGTCGTCGTCGTCGTCGTCGTCGTCGTCATCTTCGTCGTCGTCGTCGCCGTCGTCGTTGTCGTCGTCCTTGTTGTTGTCGTCGTCGTCGTCGTCGTCGTCGGCGGCGGCGGCGTCGTCGTCGTCTTCGGCGTCGTCGCCGGACCCACGTGCCCCCTCGATTGGGCCTGGGGGTCCGTTTGGGGCCCCAGGACCGTCGAACATCGATCTGGGGTGCACAACTTCACCACCCACCAAACCACCCCAACCCAACCCGAAGGCCCAAATTTATCCTCGATTTCCAGTGGAGGGGGGTCGGGGAACGTTGAAAAAACACATGGTATCCGTACCCCCCCCAACCCGAAATTCGGGTCAAATTCGGGTCTTCGGGTTGGGTTGGGGTGGTCTGGTAGGTAGTCACAACTGGCCAGGGTGGACCGCTGGGGGTGGTCTGCCCGTCCGGGCCGCATCATCTCGGGCCGAGCGACAGGGGGGGGGATAGGGAGAGGGGGGAGTACGAAGTCAGCTGCACGCAGCTGGTTTCGGCCTCGCCGCCGGGCCCATTCCTCGATACATGGGCGCCTCTCGGCGCCGGGAGGCGCTGGGAAAATCAGCTACGTGAGCTGATTGTCTACCCTACCCTATGCTATCCCCCCCTTTCGTTCCCCCCGATCATCGTAAAGCGCGACGAGTCCGAGGGCTGCTTGCAGGATCGGATGGGCCCCCTGGTCGATCGTGCGTCGCACCACTAGGGGCGACGCGCGCACCGAGAAATCCGCAGTATATGTGTCGCGGCGGGCGCTTTCTGGCCATACCGCTCGGGAAACGATCGACTACAGGATTTGTGCACCAGATGCTCGGATCGGACGCACGCCGCCAAGGAGGACGCACAGTGCTCGTACGTCCTTGCGTGTCCCAGTCGAGGGTGCAGCAGCTCGGGCCCCGGGCGGCAAAGGCTGAGATCAGCAGACTGCCCGACGCAGGGCAGGCCTGAGGTCGCTGCCGGAGGAGCGGTCGGGCGCGGGCGCGGCACGCTTTTCCCGTCGGCGGCGAGGCAGAGGCGGTCCGCTCCAGCCGCAGAGCCCTAGGACACCTTGCGAAGCACACATTCCACGAAGGATGTGCCCTGGGATTCTTTTGGCAGGATTCCGTATCGTCCGTGCCTGCGGCAGTCCAGAGCTGCGCGATGGCGCCGCCCCACAGTCCAGCGAAGCACAAAAGCCGACACAGCGTGTAGGTGAGCCACCAGCCTTCCGGGGACATCGAGGCCTCGGGTGGGCGCCGAGCCTCACGGTGCACCCAGGAGCGTGCGCTGCGGGGCCATGCTGGTGCTGATCCCGACGCGATGGGGCACGCAATGTGAGAGCTGGAGCGCATCCGAGCCAGGCGTTCTCCGCGACTGCGCGAGGGCCAGCCGCAGCTCCGACCCCTACGCTGGGGCGACGAACGAGCGCGACGGCAGCAACGACATGGGCCTCTGCGCGGTGATGCGTCGCGATGAGGCGCTGGATGAGCCGTGCGGACTCTCTTCCGACGCGCCGTTCGAGGTGCATGCCTTACTGACCTGCCTCGATTTGCGAGCACGATAAGGGGTCAATCGGGCAGTCCTTCTACATGATGAATATCCAACATGATGACAAGATATCTGGAGACGTTTTTTCGACTATTTTAGACAATCTTTGAATATTTGTTGTTCCATCCAAAATCGGCCTGTAGGAGGACATGCCCGACCTCACGATCGGGGCTGCACGCCACGCGGCGCGAAGCTGCGGTGAGCGGAAGACTTCCGAGGGGCGCGGCAAGGGCAGGGGCTGGCGCAGGGGGTCGCGGCAGGGACATCGCCTGCAGAAGGGCGTCATGGGGTGCGCGCGCCCCGCCCTGGAAAGAAGCCGTGCAGTGGAGGGGCGCGAGCGCGCCCGCGCTGGCGTGTCAGGTGGCGCGCGCCTGGGGCAGGCGGCAGACGAAGTGGAGGAGGAGCTTTGCAGCGTCGAGTGCGACGACGCGGGTCCCTCTTCCCTCTCCGCGGCCGCTCCCCTTCCCGCTCAGCGGGCTCCCCTGTGCACAGATCGCTTCGCTGTGTTCCAGCGCTTGCTGCGACCGACTCGCGCGTCCGCCGAGTCCGGGACAAAAAAGAAAACGTGACGCGGGTGCTTCCGGCGCCAAAGGGGACCGCGCAGGCCAGCGACGGGCTTGACTGGCCAGGGGGGCAGCACCGATGACTGGGGTCTCTGGAGGTTGAGTTGAGCGCTCAACCGGCATGGCGCAGCCTACTTGCTGCTGTGCGGGCCGCCACCAAAAGGGGCCCACCGCGATGCCTCCATGCCCGCTTCTCCTTGAGGGGTCCTGCCTGCTCCGTGTGAAGGGCGGGCGGCCGCAACTTGGCCTGCGCGGCCCGACCCTCGTCGTTCGGGCCCTGGCTCCTCGCGCAGAGTGTACGCTAAGCTGCGGTCGTTTGCACTGTCAGGCCATCCGATGCCATCCCTTGCGAGTGCCATGCTGAGGTGCGGCTGCGCGCGGCTGTTCTGAGGTATGGCTGAGCTGCGCCGTGCCGTGCTGGACTGCAACCCGGCCGACGCTGTTTGACGGCCCTCGGCCTATCACGCCACCGTGCCTGGGCTGTGGGTATGAAGTCCGGTGGACGTTCGTTGGGATCTCGTGGGAAGCCTCTCGGGGGCCCCTCATGGAGTGGAGGCAGTTTGGAGGCCTCCTGGGGGCCGTTTGGAGCTTCCTGGGGCCTCTTTTGGGCCTCTTGTCCTCTTGGCGGCCTCTTTGGAGGCTCTTGGGGCCTCCTGGGCGCCTCCTGGTGCCTCCTGGGGGCCTCTTGGGGCGGAGGGCTGGGACTTCGCGGTTCGTGTTGGGGCCGTCTTGGTGCTCTCTCGGGCCGTCTTGGGCAGCTCTTGGGCCGCCGTGGGGCGCTCTTAGGCCATCTTGGGGCCCTCTTGTACACCTTAGGCGATGCTTAAGAAAACCTAAGTTTTCGGCCAGAGGCTCGATTATTCTTAATGTTTCAATGTAAATCCTAAGATTGTAATAGAAATGTTGGGTCTTAGTTCAAGTTCTGAGACGATGAATTTCTTAACCCATGACTTCTTGAGCATTTCGCAGGGTGTAGGCCTCTTGGGCCGTTCTGGGGTGGTCCTGGGGGGCCTCCTGGGCCATCGTGGAGCGTCGGAAAGCCGAAAAGGCGAGTACGCCAAAGTCCTTCAAAAACCGTAGGACAACCAATGATTGTTGCCTCTTGGGGCCCCTCTTGGAAGGCCTCTTGGAAGCCTGTTGGGGCGTCCTGGAGACCTCGTGGGCCATCTTGAGGCCATCTTGGGCGTCGTGGAGCGATATTTCGGCGACTCGGGGCCCTCTTGGACCGTCTTGGGGGCCTCGTGGGGCCCTCTTGGCCCGTCTTCGGGCCCTCTTGGGCCCGAAAAGGTCATGCGGGAAGCCGCGGTGGAGCCCAGAGGGCACGCGACAAGCCCCGCCAGATTTGGCGATTTGGGGTTCGGGCCCCTGAAAGACTCCTCAGGGCTGAGGACTGAGGCTCCACGCCCACTCCGTGCCCAGAGGCACGGTGGCGGATAATATATGACATGTGATGCAAGGCAATGTTATGCCATTTTATGCAGAACATTATGCGGTGCTGCGTTGGCCAGTGTGGACCCCAACCTGTGAGTCCTTGCGCTCTGGATGCATCATACATCTGGTGCATCTATGTGATACACTCGATGTGCTGCAGTACAATTGGCACAATTTATGTGGTGCAATTGTAGCGCATTCTATGTGATGCAGCCTTTCTCGTGCAATTAATGTGGTGCAATCCACGTGGTGGCGCTGCAATCTATGTGGTTCAAGTTATGTGCTACAGCCCATGTGGTGCAAGCTGCGAGCTGCAATCTATGTGGTGCAAGGTGTGGTGCAATCGGCGTGATGCAGTCTATATCGTTCAATTCTACGTGTTGCAGGATAAATGCTGCGCAACCTGTGTGCTGCAATCTACGAGGTGCAGTGTGCGAGGCGCAGTCGGCGTGCTGCCTCAAGCGTGTGTGGTGCCGAGTGTGGGGCGCAGTCGTTGCCCGGGGTGCCGACGACACTGCGACGGACGGCTCACGGGCCAACCGGGGCGGCGACGGGGCGGCGACGGGCGGCCACTGGGCGGCCACCCGGCGAACGCCTGGGGCACCCCAACTGGCGAACGGGGCGGC